ATTTTCCAGACGAAGAAACGGAGACGGGAAGGAGAGGACTGACTTGCCTGAGGTTGTACTTTCTGGCTCTTTCTGTCCCTTTCTCTCCTCTGCTTCCTTTGTTTTTCAACATCTTTAGCCTTTGGCCCTAACCAGGAAGGGAGAGCAAGAATCCCATGAGGGAGAAGGCCACCTCTTAAGCTCCTGCCATGAAATTTAGCACATAGCTGGTGGCTAATAAGTCTTCTTTGACAAAAGCATTCTTTCCACCAGTCCACCAGGCTGAGCTGATGTTGTCATTTTACGGAGGGGGATACTGAGGCTCCAAGTGGTGCCCCAGCTTCATCAGGAGCACATCTCTGCAACCAGGCCCCACTGTGACCTCTCAAGTAAGTTTAGTCTGTACACAGTGGTGGGCAGGAGATGCTGGGGAGGCTGGGATGGGTAAGTTCGACTATAAAGTTTGGTCCTACAGTGTCAGTCCCAGCTCAGAGAGGAAGGAGCACAGCCATGCCTGGGCAGGAACCAACACCATCACGTTTCTTCCTGATGCTGCTGACGCCCCAGGGGGCTACCACTGGGGCATGCCCTATCCCTGATCCAGGAGCACCTCCTGACCTTCCCAGGACCCTCCGAAATGCAGTCCAGTCTGGATGTCCCCAGATTCCAGAAGTTGCAGAAACACTTCAAGGACACCCCTCCCATGCTGCCGTTGATCAAGAACTTGAAAGACTCACACCCAATCGCATCCAGAAGTGTGGGTAAAGTCTCGGAGACCCCTCTGGGCAGTCCCCACATCCAACCGGTGGGTCCGTGTCTTAGAAAAACACTGCTGTACCTGTTGTGAACTCGGCAGGAATATCTCATCCCCCACCGTGACCGATGAAGGAGCTAACAGCCTCATTTGTGGCCAGACAGGGTGGGGCTCGGCCAACATGGGATTGTTATAACCCCATCCTGACCACAGATGGGGGAAACTGAGGCCCAGAAGGGCCAGCAACTCTCCTGAAAGTGAGAAAGGGTTCAGCCCCTGCGGAACCCAGAGAGGTGGGTGCCAGGAGGGCATGGTTCTTGCCCTTGGCTAGGGGTCTGCATGTGGGAGTAGGGGAAGGTGGGCAGAACCCACTCAGGTTGGTTCCAGATTTGAGGCAATCGAGGGCCAAACTCAGCTAAAGTCGCCAGCAGAAGGTGCCCTCGAGAACTGGGCTACCTAGGATCCCCGGGGGGAGGATTTGGTGGGGGGAGGTGTCAGGCTCCAGGGAGGGCTCAGAACCCTCCCTGGTCTCACCTGGGATGTGTATTTCCAAGTAAACCTCTATCCTCTCAGACAGAGAGTAACCTAGTAACTAGGTCAAGGGTCCTAGAACCACAGGCCCACTCCGCAGTTGTCCCCAAGACCTGGGAGGGAAGCTGTCTAGTGATCCTAAGGGTCCAAGGAATCTGAAAACTGGACATCCTGTGTGGTCTGGCACCCTGTGCCCTGCACATAAGGAGGCCCACGAGGGGTCAGTTTCTCTTTCTTTCTCCACAGGAAACCTCCAGCCTAACAACTCTTCTGCCCCTGAGAAATCCTGCTTTTTCCGGCCCTACTCCCACTGTCTCCAAAGGCACCAAGCCCTCTGTGAGTCCTACAGTCTTTGAAGCGCCGTGGGGGCCTGGGACTCAGCTCCTTGTCCAACCTGGAGGGAGCATCCAGGCCCCCGGAGTGCCGGAGCCACGAGGAAGACCGGGTAAAAAGCATTTGGGATATGTCTCATAGCCTGACCATAATGTTGCCACTTTGTCTCCAGGCCCACAGGTCAGAATGGCAGCCTTTCGGGCGAAGCGGGTACTTGCCAATGGCCATGCCTTGAATCAATTCCTAACGGATGCTGAGTGCCCATTGTCCCCTGACTCACTGCTTATGAGTCCTCCTTCCAAGCCCGTGAGGGAGTGCCATTACCACCTTTTACAGACAGGGAAACTGAGGCTCACTGGTCACAAGCTGAGGGTTGAGGGCTCACAGATCTTGAGGGACTCCAGTCCAGCCTTTAGCTGTTCCTTCTTCCCCAAATCCATTTCTCTTCCTCCCTCTCCTCACCAAACCTTCCTTCAGCTGCCCAGAGACCCACAGACGTTCCTGCCTCCCCAGTATGCATGGAGCACAGAGAAAGGGAACGGGATGGGAAAGAGAGAAGCAACCCCAGGCTCTGGGAGGTGGCCCTGGCTCCCCACTGCTTGGGTGGGAGTCACCCAAGTGTTCGCGCGGTGGGGTCTGGGGCAAGTGGCCCTCGTGGCCCACATACTTCGTCTTGAGGAAACCCCAGAGAAAGCCGGTTTGGAATTGGGCTCTCTGCTCCCGAGGCAGGTGGTATCCCTGGGTATTACAGGAGGATTTCGGGGAATAGAGTTGACCTTCTGCCTACCCTGAGGGTACCTGGTGTGTTTCTGGGGCTCCCTTAACATCTCAGATTTCTAGCTGTTCCTAAATCTCTCTTTCGGAGAAAACGTTCCTGCTGAAGGTGACGGCCTCTTCTGTCCCCAAGGGAGGGGCTGGCCGCTGGCCCCTCTGCTTGCCTTCTCCCTGATGCCCAGAGCTCCTGTGAGCGCCTTGTCCGAAACCCCCGTGCCTGGGACCCCAGGGTCTGCTGGACACTGTCCAAACGACACCCCAAAAAGCAAATGAAAACAGTTGAAATATGTGATTTCTTGTGTGTCTTTGTGAGAGGTTAGGGTCCACCGGGGTCATCCTCGGCCTAGGAGGCATCAGTGGGCAGAGGGGGCCCAGAATCACCGGGATTCCTGTCCTTGGTATGTGACCCCGGTGCCCAGTCTGTGGTGGCTGTTATGAGTGCGCTGAGTTAAGAATAAGATTTCTGTACTGAACATTCTCCTTCCTCACAACATACTGCCTTTGTTCTGATGCACAGAGAGTTGGAGTAACTTGCCTATGGTCACACAGCAAAGTGGGTGGCGCTGGGATTTGAATCATGATCAGGTTGCTGCACAGCGTGTGCAAACATTCCCACTCCCTGTGTGTTGTCCCCACAACCCTGACGCAGAGTGCCATTACCACCTTTTACAGACGGGGAAACTGAGGCTCTGCCAGGTGATGCTCTTTGTCCCATGTGTCACGGCCAGGGAGGAGTGGGCCAGAACATCAACCCAGGCCAGCTTCTCTGGAGCTGACAAATGTCCAGTCTGTTGGGACCTGGGTCAGGAAAATCTCTTCACGAGGCTTTGAAATTTGGGGGGAAAAAACAGTCAACAGTCCTAGACAGAGGGAACTTCAGAATCCTAACCCAGGCTTAGAAATGCCAGGAAAACAGATGGCCAGCCAGGAGCTGGACGTATGTGAGGTCTCCGGTATGGAGTCGCCCCCCTACAAACTTACGCACCTCCTTGCCCCCTCTTGGTTTGATTCACTTATTCAGTAACGGAGGCTAGTGAATGTTGGCATCTCGCCATCATTGATCTTGCAGGGATGCCTACTAGGACAACGCCCCCTTTGCCCCATTCAGCCCCAGGTTAGGTCAGATCTAGGCACTGGTGGCCCTCGCTGCCCTGTCCCTACCAGTCTGGATTACTCAGCATTCTGGCTCGCCTTCGGGACCTGGCCTCTGCTCTAACCCTTGTTACTGAGCACTTACTGTGTGTGCCAAGCTGGTGAGGCAAGAGGCCCATTTTCCCAACAGCCCCTGTCAGGATGGAAGTGACAGTGGCAGGAACCAGTGTGTTTACTAAGCACTTGAATGCCCAGAGCATCACAGGGTGTATGGGGGGAGATTTGGACCCATAGCTGGGTGATAATCTCACGCCTAGAAGCTGAGACTGAGACTCAGGGGGGCCCGAGTCTCCCCAGTGGGTGCATGCTGGGTGTGGGGAGGTCTGACCCTGTTCCTCCAGGGGAGACTTGCTGTGCCGCCCCCCAGCACGTCCTTGTGCCTCTCACCTGCACACACTCTATCCCACTTTACATATCCCTTCCATCTGCCTCACACAGCTGCCCATCTTCTCTCTGGCCAGGAAGCTAGAAGCAGGCACAGGGGCTGGGGCCAGGGGGCCTGAGCCATAGAGAAGGGGCTGAGGGGAAGACCTGGGTCTTTCTGGGGCACCCCTTGCCCCTCCACCATCTGGTGGCTGGACCTGACACCAGCCCTCCCTGACCTAAACCCCAGCACTCTGATTCCCTGCCATCTCTGTTCTGGGCCCAGCCAGAGTGTCCCAGAGTAGTTTCATCTCCATCTAAGTCTTCAGAGGACCTCCAGTCTGGGGAAGACAGAGCCAAGCACAGATAGTCTCAGTGCTGGGAGGTCAAGGCTGAGCTGGAGGAGAGGATAGGGGTTGGGAGCACCCAGCTGAGTGTCAGAGAAGGCTTTCTGGAGGAGGGGCTTTTTGAGTAGGGTTTTGAGGAACGAGTAGGAGTTTCCCCACAGATACTGATGAGTGCCTGCAAACACACCCAGTTAACCACATACCTCCTATGCATCTGGCCCTATCCTTTTTATCTCATTTGAACTTCTCTCCAGTTCTCATTTTCCAGATGAAGAAACAGAGATGGGATGGAGAGGACTGACTTGCCTGAGGTTGTACTTTCTGGCCCTTTCTCCTCTGCTTCCTTTGTTTTTCAACATCTTTAGCCTTTGGCCCTAACCGGGAAGAGAGAGAGAGAATCCCATGAGGGAGAAGGCCACCACCAAAGGTGCTGCTGTGGAATTTAGCACATAGCTGGTGGCTAATAAGTCTTCTTTGACAAAAGCATTCTTCCCACCAGTCCACCAAGCTCGGAGGAAGTCCCCATCTCATAGAAGAGGATACTGAGACTCAGAGAGGCTTCTAGGGGGTGGGTACCCCCGCTTCTCCAGGAGAACCCCCCCCATAAGGGCCTCCCCCTGAAAAGCAGCCCAAGACTCAGCCAACTATGGTCCCTGGAGTGTTTACTCTGCACCCAGGGCGGAAGGGACCAGGCAGGCGGGGGCGGACAAAGTCCGGGGATTATAAAGGCCAGTCCAGCAGCGTCCGGTGTCTCAGTTCAGAGCTCAGCTAGCACTGGCATGCCTGGACAAGGACTGACACCACCATGCGGCTCTCCAATGCTGCTGATGATGCTGACGTTCTCGTGGCTGCCTTCGGGAGGCGCCCTGTCTCTGGCCCAGGAGCACCTCCCGGTCTTTTCGGGACCCTCAGACGCGCACTCCAGCACGGATGTCTCCAGAGTCCAGGAGTTTCGGAAACGCTACGAGCACCTGCAGACCAGGCTGCGGTTGAACCAAAGCTGGGCTGATTCAAACCCTGACCTCATCCGTGCAGCTCAAGTCCGGATACTCACTCCAAAGCGTGAGTGAAATCTAAGAGACCTCTGTCCCCTGGGCAGCTACCATCATTTAACCAGTGGTTCTGAGTCATAGGGGCCCAGGACTGCCCCTGAGCCTCAGTTTCCCCATCTGTGAATCGGACAAGAACATCTCCCCTTGGGGCTGATGGGGGAGCTGGTGGCCCGGTTTATGCCGAGACAAGGTGAGGCTTGGCCAAAGTGAGATGTTACAGATCGCAGATGGGGAAACTGAGGCTCAGAGAAGCTAGGGATTCTTTTGAAAACTCACAGAGCCTGGAATTCCCAGAGACAAAGTCAGGTGGCAGGGAGTGGGTGGGTGGGGGGTCCTTGTCCTTGGATGTATGGGGGAGGGCGCGCAATCCAGGAGAAAGGATGCCGGAGAGCGGGGATCAGGCGGAGCAGACAGGAGGAGCAGGCGCAGCAGATGAGAGGAGCGCAGCCTAGCGATAGGTGGAATGTGCCCGTAATGGTTCCAAATCGGACACAATCCCTTGACACGGCACTGCTGAAGTCGCATGTGGCATGTGCCTTAGGGAGGGAGGAGATATTTTCTCGCCCATCCACAGAGGATCTAGGGGGAAGAGAGGGCAGGAGGAGATCTGGGCTACGCTGGGAACTGGGAGGGGTTGGGGAAGAGTGTCAGGCCAGGAGGGAGCGCTACTATCTCGCTCTAATCCTACTAGAGCTGTGAGACTCCAGATAATCCTCTTGTCCTCTCTGAGCCTAGTGACCGGTGTCCAGGGCCCTCAAACCCTAGTCCCCACAGTATCTCCAACACCTGTACCAGCCTAGGGATCTGAGAATCCTGAGGATCCAGATATCCTTCATTTCTCAGATATGGAAACCAAGACCCAGAGAGTTGAAAACACAGTAGCTAGCCCCAGCACTTAGTAGGCCTTTAATGAAATGTTTTTGACTGCCACAGGAGGGAGAACCAGTGTTTGGATTTTAGTCCCTCTAAATATCAGGTATACATTAATTCCTGCAAGTTTTTGGTTTTTTTTTTTTAAAGATTTTATTTATTTGAGAGAGAGAGAGAGAGCACAAGCAGAGTGGGGAGGGGCAGAGGGAGATGGAGAAGCAGACTCCCGGCTGGGCAGGGAGCCCGACATGGGGCTGGATCCTAGGACCCTGGCAACATGACCTGAGCAGAAGGCAGAGGCTTAACCGACTGAGCCACCCAGGCGCCCTAATTCCAGCGAGTATTTACTAAGCACCTACTGTATGCCAGACATGGTGGTGACAAAGCAGACAGAAATCCCTGGTGAGGGGATTCAGTAGGGAAGATGAAATGATACGCAATGAAATAAAATAAAATAGGGCAGTGCCTATTTTAGGCAGGGTGGAGGGATACGTAGCCTGCCAGGCTGAGATTCAGGGGAATAGTGTGCTTGGAAGAGGAAGCAACTTGTGCAAAGGCCCTGAGGTGGGATGCAGCTTGGCGCGTGGGAGGAAATGGGCTCTCAGCACCTGGCGCACAGTAGCACAGTAGGCATGTGGTTGACTGTTTTCCTCTTTTCCTCAGTGCGACTTGGACCGGGCGGCCACCTGCACCTGCGCATCGCCCGGGCCGACCTGACTGAGGGGCTCCCCGTATCCTCCCGCCTGCATCGGGCGCTCCTCAAGCTGTCCCCGACGGAGCCGAGCTCGTGGGACGTGACTCGGCCGCTGCAGCGTCAACTCAGCCTTGGAGGTTCCCGGGCGCCCACACTACGCCTGCGACCGTTGCCTCCGTGGGACCGGTTGGGAGCGACGTTGCCTTCTGCACGTCCCCAGCTTGAGCTGCACTGGCGGCCACGCGCGGCCAGGGGGCGCCGCAACGCGCATGCGCACGCCGGGGACGGTTGCCCCCTCGGGGAGGGGCGCTGCTGCCGCCTGCAAAGCCTGCGCGCGTCGCTCGAGGACTTGGGTTGGGCCAACTGGGTGGTGGCGCCTCGCGAGCTAGACGTGCGCATGTGTATTGGCGCGTGCCCAAGTCAGTTCCGATCGGCTAACACGCACGCGCAGATGCAGGCGCGCCTGCACGGCCTGAACCCCGACGCCGCGCCTGCGCCGTGCTGCGTGCCCGCCAGCTATGAGCCGGTGGTGCTCATGCACCAAGACAGTGAGGGTCGCGTGTCGCTTACGCCCTTCGATGACCTTGTGGCCAAGGACTGCCACTGCGTATGAGCGGTCCTAGTCTTTCACTTACGGCTCGTGATCAGAGATCCTTGCCTGTCGAATGGGCTTGTGGGACCTGAGATGCCCGATTCCCACCACTGCTGTCTACCCCGTCCCGCTCAAACCTCTGTATTTATAAGTTTGTATTTATTATTAATTTATTGGGATGATCTCCCTGGGGACTGGAGGGCTAGGGAGGGCTGGTCTGACGGTGTACACTTATTTAAACTGTGGTAATAAAAATGAAGTTGTCTGACCTGAGCCCCGTGGTGTCCAGGATGAAGCTGTGTGACCCTGGGAAGAACCTTCCCCTCCTTGGCCTCAGTTCTCGCAGGGGACCTGGTATCAGGGTGAGTGGAACCGTTCAGGGAATGCGTGGTGGAGCGTCTGGCATGTCAGGCAATTGGATGGTGCTCATGACACCGATGCACCTCAAGGACAACCCTTCTCTCTGTCTCTGCTTCTCTGTCTCCTTGTGTCTGTTTCTGGGTGGCAGTCTCCCTCCATATCTCATCTCTCAGTATTCCTGTTTCTGTAGTTATATGGCCCTGTCTCTATCACCGCCGTGCAGTCTCTCCTTGCATTGGAGTCACCTTTCCAAACACAGGCAGCCTAGAGTCATGTCCATCTGTAGCCAAGTGTATTGTGTGTGATGTTGCCCCCGACCTAGAAGAGTCCCATCACTTCTTTTGGGGGCACCTCCCTCCAAGGGCCAGGAGGGCCACGCCCTGTGCAGCTAAGGCGACTGGGAGTTCTGGGGCTCTGCCTGCGCTTGGTTTCCACCAGCCCACAAGCAACAGCATGGCAGCCATCCCCTCCATCCGCTCGCTCCAGACCACACATGGCCATTACCGGCACTGTCTGGGTTCCATTTCCAGTAACAGCTCCTGCAGAAGTGCAGAGTATCCTGGGGAAGCCATCGCTCACCACCCCGGGTCTCCCCAAGGCTAACCCGGGTCACTGGTGGGCAAGCTTCTTTTTCAGGAAGTCCACTCTCCTGTTCATGACTACAGTGTTGGGAGTCCCCAGAACCCTCAGGATCTCTCCAGGCCTCCAGCGGCCGGATCACCTATGACTTCGCTCTGGAAGCTGTGAGGAAGCAGCTCGGTGGCCAGCCTGGCAAAGCCAACACCCTGCCCCAGTCCTGTGGCCACCCCCAGCCACCAGGCCTCGGGAGGCGCTAGGCTCATCAGAGCCCTTTCCCTCTCCTCCCTTCCCCTCCCCCTAGACTAGGCAGGCTGCAGCAAGCAGAAGCAGTTGGGTTTTTTTATATCAAAACACCAAAAAGGAAGTTGAGAGAACCCCACTCTTTACTATCCACACCACATGCATGCCTCCCTGACACCCTATAATTGTGTGCCTTGCACCAAGTAGAAAATAAATTCCAAGCAGCCAGTTAAAAAAGAAAAAAAAAAAAAACCAGGAGGAAACAAATACGTTGTGAAGAACATTTTCGTGCATATGGCATCTCCCATGTTATATAGTCTTCCTACTTAGGATCTTGGAATCCCTGAGATGTGCCAGGTTCCCCCTTCCCACACCCACCTGCCTGTTCACCCTGAGAATCTCCAAAGGGAAATGTTACGGGGGCCTGGGGGACAGAGTACCTACTTCCAGCAGTGAGTGAGGTGTGTCCCCTGTGAATGCTGCCACCCAGAGGCAGACCTGAATGATTGTAGGTGCCCATGAATGTATTCAGTAAATGCCCGCTTTGTGCCAGGTCTTGATTGGGTACTCAGGTCACAGAAGGAACAAGACAGAGGTGCCTGGGTGGCTCAGTCGTTAAGCATCTGCCTTCGGCTCAGGTCATGATCCCAGGGTTCTGGGATCGAGGCTCACATCGGGCTCCCTGCTGGGCGGGAAGCCTGCTTCTCCGTCTCCCACTCCCCCTGCTTGTGTTCTGCTCTCGCTATCTCTCTCTGTCAAATAAATAAATAAAATCTTAATAAAAAAAAAAGAAGGAACAAGACAGGCAAAAGCACCCCATCTAAGCTCAGTCGAGTGAGGAAGACAAATGAGTACAAAGATACATAATAAGAAAGTGGTGGACTGCAGTATGAATTGTGCTGTGGAGTCAACCCAGGGAGTGCATTAATGAGTGGAGGCAGAGGTGATTTAGACGGTTGGGGGAGGGGGCCTCCCTGAGGAGATGGCATCTGAACTGAAACCTGGAGGAAGAACAGGACTCGGGGGAGAGTTGGGGAATGGGCATTTGAGGAAGTCAGAACAGCAGGTGCAAAGGCCCTGAGGTAGGAACAAGCTTAGTGTTCAGTTCAGTTGCTAAACTGTTGAAGGTGGGGTCAGAGAGGTGGGTGGGGGCCAGAATCCACCAAATCTCATCGGTGGTGGTGAGGGGTGTGGGTGTGTTTGAAGAGCCATGGGTAGATATGAAGGCGGGGGAGCTGGAGAGGGCTGGGATCTGATTTATGCTGGAGGCGAGGAAGACAGATGATCAGGGGGCAGGGGTAGGCATTTGAACAGTGTCTAGGGTGGGGATGCAGAGGTTCAAGGAAGCTAAAGACCTTTATAGGTGCCCTCTCCCACCCCAGATCATTCCCAAGTGTTGGGGAACCCAAGAGAGCGTCAAAGTTAAGCTCAATCCCAGGGTCCCCCAAAGCTAGCAGATGCCATATGAGCATCTCCCCAAATATCAGCTGTTGCCTTTGCTGAACATTATTATGCCCGTGTGCCTTTCCATACCTCTAGTTGCTGCTTACCGGGCCGGTCCCCCCACCCAATATGCGTGTCCTCTCTGCTTCTCAAACACACATCCTTCAAAACCCACTCCAGATTCCCTTCTTATGAGCAGCCTTTTCCAAACTCTTTCATTCATCTCCCTCTGGAGCCCTTGGCCCCATCCCTCCCTCCAGCCCAGGCTTGACCTCTCAGGACTGAGGGTGTCTGTGTCCAGCTCTCTCCCCTAGATTGGAGGGTTGGCAGGATCCAGGCTGGGAGCAGCTGATAGGAAACCCAGCTGAGCGGCGCCTGGATGGCTCAGTTGTTAAGCGTCTGCCTTTGGCTCAGGTCATGATCCCAGGGTCCTGGGATCGAGTCCCGCATCGGGCTTTCTGCTCCACGGGGAGCCTGCTTCTCC